TTTGAGGAGAGTTTGGGAGGTGGATCAATGAGTGGTGATATGAGTGAATATTTATGAGACTTTCTGAGGAGGTTAATAGTTTGAAGTGATCTGATTTAATTTAGATGGAGATCATGTTTCACTTGAGGCTAACCCCCTGACCCCATTTATTGGCTATGCGTGTGAGAGAGAGACATGAAGTGAGACCTGCGCTGTTGGAACTGATTTAAGGTGGATGGTTATCATTTAATTAATTAAATATGGTTATTAATAATATGCCTACATACAACTGGAGTTAATATTATGAAAACAAATCATTATTTAGAAAGCTATAGAGAATGTAACATTGTGATATGTATAAGATGTTGTTACATTGATTAAAAGGAAAAATAACAGACAAGAGTGGCTTCTTTTATACAACTGTGGTAACAACACTATAATTAAACGAACCAATGTTCATATTATAAAGTTAATTTATTAGTAAATATGCTTCCGTCAAGTAAATTAGGCTACAGACCTTAGTCAGGTTAGTTGCCATATTGAAATTATCTTACAGACTTTGTATTTAAAATGGCACGCTCATTTTCTCAACTCAACTTTCAATACTGTTTTATTGAGTTTCTGCCAATCTCATGTTAACCTATAGAGTAATATTGCATACTTCATATCTCCAAAGAGTCTTTATCAGATTTATAAAAGACATATACAGCTTTACGATTCTCTCCGAAAACAGTCGAGCTCGTACGTGCCGTGGGTGGAGCTAAACATTAAAGTTTCTTGTGCTCACATAAGAGTTTTCTCACAAGTAAGCAAAGCTTTATTTATTCTATTCTTATTCAACTACTTGTGCCAACGCGAAAAGGCGTTGTTTTTCTACAGATGTCACTTTATGGGCACCATAGAATTTAGAGTCAACTAACAGTTTTACATATTTTTATGTGCATAATATTTGTCTAATAATGTTGATAATCAATTACGGTTGCTTTGACATTGAAAGCATACTTGTAGAGCTACTAAAAACCTTGAAATTGCTGAGAGAGATGGAGAGGAAGATAAATACTGTATGCACTTTTTAAGTGCACCTCTTTGCAGACTTTTCACATAATACATCTTGCAGCTCAAAAAAATTGTGTTTGCAACAAATACAGACACTGATCTGCCTTTTGAAAAAGGTGCTCTTTAACCTCGCTGTAGGCTATGTTAGTTCCTTTCAAACAGAAGTGTGCTCTTGAACAAAATTTTAGGAGTTTTCCCAAAATAGCCTGAGAGAGCAAACCTAAAGCCACAGATCATCGGTGGAGGTTCAGATTTTTTTCACAGCTGAGATGAAGCTGATCAATGATTGCCTTTGAGGCAATGATTTGAAGAACTTTCTAGAGCTTGTTCTTCTATTAGGAAAACACCTTTGCTGCTTTGATAAAAGTGGTATTGGCAAACAATTAGAACTAAAAAAAACAAGTGGTACTGAAGCATTTCAAAGGGACATTCCCTCATGTGCTTAAAAATGTGCAAGACTTATATTTATAATAGGGTTATAATGTGCATTCTGCTCTTTTCTGTAAGTGTTTGGTGACCACCGCTGTCAATTTTGAGAGAATAATAACTTAACTTTTGGTCTGTTCTTCACACAAAATACTTGTATGACTTGAAATGTAGTGTACAAGTTGTATGGAGCACTTTTGAAATCTTGATGATGCTTTTTGTCTTGCTGTTTACTTTCATTGAATAGAAAAGAGCAACTTAGACATTTAATTAAATACAGAATGTGTTTCTTAGAGCTACTGTAGCAGACATCTGTTCAAATGAAAAGCATTTCACAAAAAATGAAAACATTATGGACACAGGCAAATTCATATTTCCATCACATGTTTACCTTTACCCCTCAACCCCCCGGACTAATTTTCCTGTGATTGTCTTATAGTTCAACACAGCAGTCATAAGCAAGTACAGTGACTGTGTTCATGGGAATTATATTAATCAGGGAGCCCAGAAGCTTAAAGTCATCTCATGAGGTTTGACAAGCATGACCAGGCACAAGCCATGGGCCTCTTGGATGCCAGAAGATCCTGAAAGCTATGTTGTATTAAGAAAGCCTGCAGCATCTAACCCACTTTCTTTATGGTGTATTCAATCAAAACTTTAAAACAAGTAACTGCAACCTGGGAATGACCATGTGAATTCTCCAAAATGATTGCTTTGCTTAATGTTTGCTTCGTTTGACACAGCAATACACCTTAATTTGAACTGTCATTATCTTATTTTCCTGAAAACTGCTTTAGGTGGAGCAATATGAAAAATGAAGGATGAACATGAAGAAACTCTAGAGAGATATTGTTGGCTCATTTTATGGTCCAGAGCTTGAACTTTTCTACTCTACCACTCGCCAAAGTTGATCTTAAATGACTAATAAAAGAGGAAAGTGATTAGCAGTTTAATAAAAGATAAATAAACAAATGTAGGGAAAGGGAGTTCAAGGAAACATTTATTTACCTTAGCATATGGCCTTGGATTCATGTGATTTTTCTATAAGAAGAAGAAAGGTAAATATTATGGTTTCGATACAGCTGGGTGACTGTAGTTTACTATGGAGTAACTATATACCCACATGCAAACAGCCTGGGGTTGTTAACTTAACTTGGGTTGTTCATAATGAAAATGTCAGAGAACATATCACATGTTGTGATAGCTATTCCAATGTGCTAGGAAATATTTTTGCAACTGTCAACCAAATTTAAATGTAAAGGGATTAAGTCAACCAACTATGGAAATATTTTAAATTACAATGGGATTTAAATTGTGTGATTAGCGAGTTTTATTGGGTCTTTGCAGTTACAGAATGTGTAAGGGTTCTGGTTACTAGGTTATTTCCCTATTGCTAGTAAGAGATTAGTGTATTTTTTCTCACAAAGTCAACGTGAGTTACGTAATCAGATTACTTTTTTTCAAGTAACTAGTAAAGTAACGCATTACTTTTTAATTTACAAGAGAATATCTGAGTTACTTTTTCAAATAAGTAACGCAAGTTACTTTTTTTTACAATTTATTGATTGACAGCTCTCCTGTCGCCATGTTGAGAAATCAGAAGATGTTACTGTAGTTCTAAAATAAATATGAATATGCATTAATTCATCTCACTCACACAAAAAAAACGCAGATTCAGTATTCCTCAAAATGAATAAAAATAATGCAACTCAGAATATTACGCAAACCTGCCATAATTAAATGTTAAACAACACAAATATTGTTTTATGTATTTAATCCCATTCTATTAACCAATGTCTTTGCTTCTGACCTTCGATGATCCAGTTCAACCATACTAATAAGCAAAAATTACTCGACAAACATTTGTGTGTCTTTTTTTATTGCTGAAGTATGTTGAAATTTCTTCTTCTGCATTCTACTGTACGGACGTAAATGGACTTTCCTTTCAGCCTGAGGCTTATTCATTTCACTTTTGGTGCGAAAAGGCTTTTATATTTGCCAAAAATTTTACTTTTTTATTAAAAAAAAAAACAAGCAAGCCCTGTCCAGATTTAAAAAGTAATGCAAAAGTAACGTAACGCATTACTTTCCATAAAAAGTAACTAAGTATCGTAATTAGTTACTTTTTTTATGGAGTAAAGCAATATTGTAATGCATTACTTTTAAAAGTAACTTTCCCCAACACTGTTTGCCAGTATGTCTTACACAGGACCTCTGAACTATATAAAGTATAATGTAATATCACTATCAAAGTGCAATATTTTTGATTGCACTTTTTTTTGTATTACAGCTGAAACAAACTTCTGTTAAACTTTCTTCTGTCCATTTTGCTATATAATCTGTTTGTTTGTGTCATATAATTTATTGATTTCAATGTTTAGCATATTTCCTGTCAATCCTTAGTTTAAAAATTGTTGTCATATGACTTGTTTTATGTTTTTTTTCTGTTATTGGTGAAATCCTCTTTCGAGAATAATTCAAAGTCAATATATTTTACTTACCTAACAGTTTTATTTGCCTTATTGAACTTATTCAGCAGTTTTATTTCAGATTTAACAATTCAGTATTAAATTTAAAAGAAAATCAGAGGCTGGAATGATGACAAATCACAAGATGATATGAACAAATACAGTAAAAAAAGACAACTAAATCATCGAGAAATAGGAGGAAATGATGGGTGAAAGGGAGGTCAGGGGTGTCACAGCGATCATAAAGTCTTGGGTCATATCTTAGAATGACAAGAAGGCTCATGTTGGCTTTATTAAAGCATCTAAGACAAGACGAGCAATAATGAAAGCATACAAGAACAATTATGTTATTTTAGAAAGCCAATACGAATATTGTTCACAATGAAGGATCTCCTATCAGGAGAGCAGATTAGTAGAGATATAAAGCCTCTCACAGGCATTAATGACAAACAAATGCATAAAACAATGATCATATCCACTCGTTCAGTTGTGTCTCTTTTCTTTCGTTCTCAGGCAAAGTAGCAAGACCGCACAGATGAGACTCATCTTGCTGTTTCCAAAACTAACAAACACCACGTGTATGATAACAGTGAAATAAATCAATGTGTTTTATGAAAAGGAATGAACAACAGACCTCTCTAATTGAGTCACCTATCACCTCATGCTGTAAACATTATTGCTTTTCTGAGATAAGATGATGCTTTTTTGTAAATCGTTTGTTAGAATCTCTTTTTCTATCCAGCTGGAAAACACAACTGGGATTGTTCTGCTCTAATAACATTCCATGCAAGTCTGTGACAATTTAAATGTTTTTGTTACAAATTTACCATTGCCAGATCAGCCTTGTAAGAAGCAGCTTTTATTGAATTTGAAGGCCACTAATAAATCAGTTTGATAACTGCTTTCCATAGCCATACTTATAATATAGTTTCTTCTGACAAGCCACGTGTCAACCTGTGGCACTCTTAACCTCGTTTGTGCGTCTCAGGTATGACTAGCGCTATTACTGTTGATGTTGCCTCCCTGTCCCCGCCCATGTTCGCTCATCGTTCCGCATGACCCGCGCGCAGAGTACAAGGTAGAAAACAACGCTGGCCCTTTAAGACGGGAGTGATCGCTCCGCTGGCGACCGTTCCGCGGTATTATCGAGCTCCAAGACTACCAACACACATGAGCTAGATGGAATTATAACAATGGAATATCATTGCGTTCTGTTTACTGTTCTGTTGCAGTTAATCGTCCAACCAGGTAGGGTGACTATTATCATCGGTCCTTTTATGGTATCACTTTGCTTAGAGGAAAGAAAGTTGTTCATTAAGGAGTAGGGATGTACTGCACTTGCTCTATAGATGACAGACAGTGGGGCTGTTTAATTATTCTTTATTAGGCTACTCAAAACCAGACGGATTGCCTTCAGAGAATAATGTAGCCTATGTAGGCTACCTGTTGCTTCTTACTTTGAACTAATCTAGATTCATGTAGGCTCTTTATAGAAGCACGATTTTGCCTGTTAACACTGGACTGCCACATAATGAAGCTCTCTATAAGGAGCTTTCGCACCTCGGGGCGCGTTCTGTCAGTTCAGAACTCCACGAGTTCTGCAGTACAACTGAAAATTAAGCATCCTAATGCACCAACATTTCCACTGATGGTCCCAGTGAATCATATCCTCTTCACTTACCCTGCGGAGACTCACACCAGCAATTTAAGCGGTTACAGGAACCGATCATTGAAACAAGATATCGATCCGGAGAGCTGCAGGTGAGAATGTAAGGTAAAGCCGATCCTCGCGCGCTGTACTCAATTATTTATCACTCGGGCTCGCGCGTGCTTGTCTCGGCAACAAGTGTAGGAATACGAAGCCTGTTTTTTTTAGCTATAATTAGTGAGAGGCGTGAAGGAAAGAGTGTAGTTAAAACGCACGTTGATTAACTTTATAGGCTACTGTTTGGATATAGAGACGGGGTTGACTCCTCCGGCTTGAACCTCCTCCCAAAATGTTTCGAAACCATTTTTTTGGTCTTACAGAATATACTCAACAGATTTAGCTACGCATATTGCTGCTAAAGCAACTTGTTTTAGTATCCAGAAAAGTATCACATTTTCAGCCGCAGCGCGTTTATTGAGGAGGTAGCCATAGCAACTGCGCAGCTCGAGTATTTTTCTTTAGAATCAGTAACACAAGTAAAACAAGTGCTATGTAATTTTTACGCTTGATTAAGGACGTCACGCATATATTAGCTACGAAAATGTTTTCGAAGTCTGTGGGTTTTGCGCGCTAAACAAACTGAGCTACATGGAACAACCTATAACATTTCTCAGAGATATGGGGGTATTGAACTGATCTGTAAGGTTAAACTTTGTTGGCACAGGCAGTTTTTTATTATTAGTATTATCCTATCAGCATGGACAGTTAGGCTTTATGTAAACGATCGGCAATTCCATGTAATTTCCTAAAAGCCAGAGTAGTTGTTTTGCATGCTGCAACCTGACTTTTTATTTTTTTTTTTGGACGTAGCCTGTCAGATGGTCTTTTTGTAGATTACGGATGTTCTGAGAGATGCGGGGCGAGTCATTAGTTGGACTGCATCTGTTAACTGACCATTATCATGTACTCAGATATTTATCCTTTTGTAACTCGTCCTTGGAAACAAAGATATCACTTTTCTCACAGTTTCATTTGCTAAAATAAAGATGTTTATTATGTGGTAAATTTAAGTTTCCCAAAAGGATCATAGCTTTCCTTTTTTGGGAAAAATCTCTTGTCTTCCATCATTTAAATTCCAAGCTTGTCGTTGTGTTTGGGGAATATGGGGTTAGCCTGAAGAAACGTCATAACCCAGGCGTTTTGATGAGCCATTTCAAAGATCAGGTTTAGAGTGAGCGTGGGCAATCCTGAACACATGCAGCTTTGGTGTGGTTTCGGCGTGAATCTGATGATCAACTTTGTAACGCCAGAGGGCTTCAGTGCTCGAGTGACTATTTTGCATCGGGTTCGGGTTTACATAGTTAATATTAGAGAGCTCTGATATGCACAGTTAGAATTATCGTAATTATGCACAGAAGTCAGTTTTCTGGTTGGTTTATGGCAGTGGTTCTCAAACCTCCCCATGAAGTTCAAGTACCCCGAGCACTGCACATTTTATATGTCTCCCTTAACTAACACACCTGATTCAACTCACCAGCTCATTAGTGGGGACTGACTGCAAGACCTGAAGTGGGTGTGTCAGATGTATAGGTAGACATACAAAATATTCAGTGCTGGGCAGAGGCAAACCAAGATGAAGTGGGGGCCCCAGGCAAAATTAATAGATGAGGCCCTTCTAAAAGATTATTTTGTTAAAGGGGTCATATTATGCGATTTCAAGTTTTCCTTTCTCTTTTGAGTGTTACAAGCTGATTGTGCATAGATAAGATCCCTGAAGTTGCAAAGACTAAAGTCTCAAAACCAAAGAGATATACTTTATCAAAGTTAAAGGGGTCATATGATGCTTTTTTAAAGATCATTCTTTTGTGTATTTGGTGTAACAGAATATGTTGACATGCTTTAATGTTCAAAAAACACATTATTTTTCAAATACTGTA